TTCACTTGAGTGAAGCTGATGGTGTTGAACACGCTAACCCTGTTCAAAGAAAGGAAGATTTGCTGCCAGGAAGCTGATGAGGACAGGGGAGCAAAGCAACATATACTGCTGATGACATCGCATGCTTAGTGGAGAGAGACATCTGTTCTGTTCAGAGTCACCAGCGGATGCAAAGCAGACCCGGGTCGGTAAGATGGTGCACGCACCTCATTTCAGTGTTAGCGCCTATAGGACTGAGACAGGCCTATAGTTAGTTAGTTAGGGTCTCTGTTTGTGTCAGGCCACAAGTGTTGTTACTGATCATTGGAAGGACTCCACAACTTAAAGTGACATTTCACATTGGAGAGCTGATAAAATCCTACAAACTCAAGCCAGACTGGCATTTTGCTCAGAAGGAATACTCAGGCACGTGCCACAGGACCAGTTATGGGAGGGGGAATACTGTAGATTTGTGTAAGATTGTAAGCTGTTGTGCTGCATTGCAGACTAGCCCATACCATACACCCATACACTGATTCTTGTTCTTTTAGGGTTATAACAGATAAGGTGTGGCAGCTTTGTTGTGCCCGCCAATAGGTAAATTACTACACTTTCTACCTTCATCCATCAGAAGGCGCCGTGCTGTGCAGCACAGGGGTCTCAGCCTTTGGGCTGAGTGTATGTAAATTTATTGTATATTCCAGCATTTGTGGTTTTGTTTATTTGCCACATCTAAGTAAAATTCTATTGTGACAAAAGCTGGTGTTGGGGTTGCTTTCCTCGTTTGTGACTTCACTGTATCCTGGGGAGCCCACCCCGATACATGGCTTACACTGACAATATAGAAATCACAATGGCAACCATGTAAAATGGTGAAAAATTGACTCAACCTTTCTGTTGTGCGTTTCAGTATGCCGCATGGAGAAGAGAATGAGCAGCAAAGAATTCTCTGAGGATTTGAGAACAAAAATTGTGTGAAACAATCTCAAGGTTACAAGTCCATCTCCAATGTTCATCTCTCAGTGTTCCTGTGTCCACTGTGCACAACATTGTCAAAAAGTTGCATGTAGTTGCATGTCCTAGGGTTGCCAATTGTCAGCCAGATTATCCAGGTTTTGGAGCATGTGTCCAGTTTTCAGACCACCTGAAACCTGGACAGGTTATTCAAACTGGACTGTGGCCTAGGGGATGGGCAGTGCTGGAGTGCTCAGTGCCGGTCGGGGGGATGGGACGGATGATCAGTGGTATTGGAGCCTCTAACCCATCATCTCTGTCTGGCTTCAGTCTGTCACTGCCCCCTCCCCCCTTCCGGTCACTGTGTGCTCTTCCACCCAGCCCTTCACTTCTCTAGAGTTATCAAAACAAAGTAATGGGCATCATTAGAGGCGGATGGGGAAGTGACTGCGGTGCTGTGTTGTGTTTATCTGAGAGGGGCAGGACAGCTGCTGCAATCTGAGGAGAAGGCGCGGGGGGGGGGGGGGGGGGATGTGTCTTGACATCATATAGTGTACAGACCAGGGGTGGACTGATAACTCATGAGGCCCTCGGGCAATAGGGGATCATGGGGCCCCTGTGTCCTTGCCCAAACTCAAAAAAAGCCTATGAAAAAGGTACCAGGGGCATCTCATGGGGCCCCCTACTGACCCCGGGCCTTCGGGCAGTGCTCGAGTTTCCAAATGGTCAGTCCGCCCCTGGTACAGACTGTTGTTGTACGACACAGGATACACACTGAGTGGTACTGTGATTGGTGACAGCGCTAGGCTCTCATCTGTGCATGAATCCTAGTATGTCCTGACCTTATTATTCCACCCTAGGGTATGCTGAGACCTGTGGTTCCCCATGGAAAACAAAGTTTGGGGAGGGCAAGTCTTTGTAACTTTTAAAATGGCTGTGTTATCTGTTTCTCTTCACATCAAATCACTTCTCCATCAATGAGCAATAAGGATTTGCAGTAATCTCTAGCAACCAATCAGTTAGCAGTAATGATGTGCAGGAACCTCTAGCAAGCAACCAGTGAGTGGTAATGATAAGAAGTAACCTAGAAAAACCAATCAGTGAGCAGTAATAATGTGCAGTAACCTCTAGCAACCAGAGAGCGGTAACAATGTACAGTAACCTGTAGCAACCAATGGGTGAACATTAGTGATATGCAGTAACCACTAACAACCAATCAGTGAGCAGTAATTCCAAATGATTAATATATTACGGTGACTGATGGAGGCTAATCATAACTAAAAGGCACCGACAAATCAGTATTTGTCATTATTTGTAATTTGTTTAAAAAAAAAAATGCCCAGGCCTATTTTTTGTCCCACACTGGGCCTGCTCAACACTATCACTTGTAAACATGGAAGCCTTGCTTCTGTATTTACAAGTGACAGCTTGTCTCCCAACAGCTGACACAGATCTGATCGGAGCGGCTCCCACTGAGTGGGAGAAGGTGTAGGTGCCTGGAATGCAGTTCAGATGCCAACACCACATTGGGTGAGCTCCCTGCAAGTGAGAGAGGCAAATCTACCTAAGTGAGTGGGGAGGTACTAGAGCCGGCTGGGTGTTTCAGCTTAATACAGTAACAAAAGTAAGACGCGGAAGATGGTGGAGCTTTTTTTTTGGGAGGTGCGGGGAGATGGGGGCAGTGGAAGGGGGTTGCATGCAGAGGTCAGAGCTGAAGAGGGGTGAAAGTGATATGTGGATGGGGGAGGAAGAAGTAAGCAACTGTGGAAAAGGGCTGAACTCAGCATGTTGTACATAATGCACCCCTAAACTCTACACTCTGCATGAACACCCCCCCCCTTCCTCTCTGTATGTAATGCACTCCTGATATTTAATGCCCCTTTAAGACCTTCCCACTGGTTGTGAAATTTGACCACACCCACTACTTGATGAGGTTAGGAGGGTGTGTGTGTGTGTGGGGGGGGGGGGGGGGGGGGGGGTGAGGGGGGCAGTTTGAGTGGCTGTGTGATGTGTGTGTTATATAAATCCTTTTTTTCATTTTTCATTAGTGATCACATGGCCTGTTTTCAGCTGCATAAGGTGCGTAAAGAGAGCTAGGGTTGGGGACTGCCAGGGAAGGGGTTGGAAGAGGCATAGAAACATCTATACACTGATCTTCCCAGATTCCCAGTATTGAGCTGTGAGGCAGGGGTGTATATCAGCAGCAGGCAGAAAACATTAGTACACTGATCTACCTAGTGAAGAGCTGTGCAGGGCGATGTCTCAGCAAAAGTCTAATCAATGGGGTACAGGAAGGCTATGCTCCCAAGTAGAATGCAAAGAAGAAAACTGACCACACTGGTGAGGTTAAAACAGGAAAGCAGAGATCAACAGGTATTTCACAAAGAGGAAGCAATACAAAGAGAACAGGATACATTCTAATACACGTACATAATACCACAGACCAAAAATTCAGGAATATAAAATATTTGGGGTAACATACACGTTAAAGTGGAGCTCAACCCAAAAGGGGACATTCCGCTTTAAGTCTTCAAGGATTGGCACCTTTGGGGAGCGAGGGGGAAGGGGGTACCTGAATTTGACAGGTTACCCGCTCCCACTTCTGCTGTGATCGCCTAGGCAATCGGAAGTGGAAGTTGTCTTCCCCTCTCCCTCCCCATAGTCTTCTGGATGCGCAGACGCAGGGGCGGACTAACCATTTGGAAACTCGGGCACTGCCGAGGGCCCGGGGTCAGTTGGGGACCCCATGAGATGCCCCTGGTACCTTTTTCATAGGCTTTTTTGAGTTTGGGCAAGGACACAGGGGCCCCATGATCCCCTATTGCCCGGGGGCTCCATGAGTTGTCAGTCCACCCTGCACAGAGGGTACCCAGCTGTGAAGCCGCAAGCTGTCACAACCAGGTGCTCACACTGAAGATGCCAGCGCTGAGGAGACAGGATGGTCAGTCAACCCAGACCATGTGAGAACACCGTGGGATCATGGGACAGGAGAGTTTTTGCAGCTGCTGACTTTTATTTTTTTAATTCCGACTGGACCTCCACTTTAGGTTGTGCAGCATTCACTTGTTGCTGAACATCTATTCTTGGAGATGACTTTTGTTTAGTAGTGCTCTTTAGAATTATTATGAAAGGAAAATAAATTAAGTACAAGAACATCTGTCAAATTATGAGGTTGACACACAGATCAAAATTCTGCTGGTCTAGGGTGTGCCAGCCTAATTCTGATCTGTGTATGGCCAAGTTTAGGCATACAATAGTTAGACCTATATTCCCTGACTGGCTAGGGTTGTCACCTCATCCCTTTAAAACCGAATACATAATAATTACGCAGGTTCTGTGGCTGATTGAGGTGGTAAACTCACTCAATGCCTTATTTGCATTAAATTAACCTCAGAACATGTAATTAATATGTGTTCGTGTTTAAAGAGATGAGGTGGCAACCCTGCAGTTTTTGCATCAGTAAATGCATGTACAGCAACAGCAAACTGCTGGCCAGTTTCTATCCACTGGTCAAAGCAGGCCTATTACAGTTTGATGAAAAGATGGAAAATTACGCATCTCTGTAAAACTATTTTACCCACTTACCCTCCAGAGGATTTACCCCCCTTCCTGACCAGGCCATTTTTTGCAATACGGCACTGCGTTACTTTAACTGACAATTGCGCGGTCATGCAACGCTGTACATAGATGAAATTTATGTCATCTTTTCACAAAATATAGCTTTCTTTTGGTGGTATTTGATCACCTTTGCATTTTTATTTTTTTGCGTTATAAACAAAAAAAGACTGACAATTTTGAAAGCAAAAAGTCAAAAATATTGTTTTTTTTTTTATTAAACATGTCCAATAGAAAAAATTTAAAAAATCTAATTTTGTCATAAATTTAGGCCAAAATATATTCTGCTACATGTCTTTGCTAAAAAAAAATTTCCAATGCATGTAAATTAATTGATTATGTGAAAGTTATAGTGTCTACAAATGGTGGTATATATACTGGAATATACTGGAATTTTTTTTTTAAATTTATTTTATACTAGTAATGTCGATCAGCGACTTATAGTGGGACTACGGCACTGCGGCGGGCATTCTGACACTGGGTGGGAACTGACTAACTGCCACTGACATCCCCAATGACACTAATATAGTGATCAGTGCTAATAAAAAGCACTGACACTGTACTAATGACACTGGACAGAAAGGGGTTAACATCTGGGACAATCAAAGGATTAACTGTGTACTGTGTTGTGTTTTACTATGGAGACATGCTATTTTGTACCTCTCTGCTGTGCAGAGAGATACAAAACAGCATGTCCATGCTGACAGAAGAGAGACCTATGTTGTTTTTACACAGGTCTCTCCCATATCAACTTTCCCCGACGATAGGCGAGAGTGCCGGTAGGGAATCGCCGGCCAAGACCAACCCGCAGCACCCCCTACTCAAATATGCGAATCAGGTATCTACACATGTGATTTTGCGCAGCCCTGTCTCCCTGTAGCAATATTTCTGCTAAAGGGCGGCAGGCAAGTAGTTAAGTTGAAATTAATCAAATTAGGGTGCTGCTGCTTCTGTTTGTACGCCAAACTAATTGCAAACTGAAAAAAAAAAAGAAAAAAAAAAGGGAATAAAAAAAATCTCACTGCCAAAAAATGGGTGATGCCTTTTCTAGAGTACATTTATAAATAGCGGATTGGTGGACTGTTACTTCCCCAACACTGTTATAAACGCAGATGGAGGAAATGGCTTGGGTGATCATTCTTGTAGCTGGCCAGCTAAGACCAGTCCTAGGTTGTTAATATGGTTCACATATACGTGTATACCAAACCTGCCAATAACCTCAGTACAGTGTATATGTGCATATGTTAAAGCCAAAAGTAGAATCATGGCTGTAATTTGTCTTTGATTGTTATATGACATTTATATATTCATTGTGTTAGCAGAAGCAGAAAAGGAAAATATGCCTTTAAGAGTTAGTATAGAGCTGAGCCAATCACAGACAGCCTCACACTGTACAGAGCCTTAACCAATCCCAGCCAGTTTCACATCTATGCCTGTGTAAAACTCCCTGCTAGGATTTTCTAGAGACACATGCTCAGCAGACAGAAGAGGAAACAGACAGTTCCAATCAGAAAAGCTTTATGGAAGCAGAGCAGGCCAAATAGGTATTTAATGCACTTGTGTGTTCCTCTGTTGTTTAGTAATGCAGGTAGATCTGTATGTTAAAACTGTTGTGTGTGTTTACTTGTAGTTCCACCGAACTTATCGAATTTACAAACTTATCGAACTTACGAATCGTCACTGTAGAGTAATCTAACGAATTTATAAATCCAAGTGAATTTATCATTCTATCGAAATATACAGAACGAATTTATCGAATCTATTGAACCTATCGAGATAAGCTATCGAATCAAACCACTGTAATATGAAAGAAATAAAGCTACTGTATATAAATGAAACAAGCCATTGTAAGCAGTGTTATATGAAGAAGATTGAAGTTATTAAAGAAGTTAACTAAAGTATTCGGTGTGCTCTTTAAACCTACTGCATCCATAGAGCGGCATTGGAGGAATTACAGACTAAAGTCAGTCTAATCAAACAAAGAATCAGCAATTGCATAATTTTTCTAATGCCACAGCGCACTAGGCACCAAAGGGTGCTGCGCCTGCCACAGTGGAACTATTACCCTCAGAGGTCAAGCAACAGCGCTCCTCAACTTGCTCAGTAAAGAGTACACTAGAGAAACAGAGCGCCAGCATATACCGCCACGCGGAGACACCTCAGCGGAACAACAGTACAGGCCATAGCACGTGGGCATTAGTCAGACTGCAACTGACTCTTAAAGTGGCATAACGGCAAAGGCAAGACAGTCAGAGAAAGAGCGCCAAACCTCCTGCACCCCTAGAGAGAGAAAGAGATGCATGAGGGGAGGACCACAGTCCAGAGCTAGAGTGCCCGCACCACTATCCATCAAGAGACCACGTGTTGCATCCAGAGAGTTCACGATACTAATCGCAAGTCACCGCAGAGCATCACAAGTCACCGCAGAGCATTGCAAAGTCACCGCAAAGCATCACAAGTCATCACAGAACATCGCAAAGTCACCGCAGAGCATCGCAAGTCACCGCATCAAGAAAAGGAAAGTCTCCTTTAAGACTGACATTTGTTTCTGCAACCTTCAGATCACGGTATCCTGCTTTTCAATTAAGGTCAGAGCTTTCCTTTATTACTCACTTATGCCCATAGGTTTCTGCAAGAGACATTTTTGTGCTCAAGAGAGAATACAGACTTTTTTTAAAAAAAGAGACAGTTATAGTATACGTTTCTGAAGTATTTAAAAGTGAAAGTCATTTATTGCCTGCGTTTTGGTGCTATTACATGTAAAGTGAAAGTCATTTATTCTTGCATTTGATAGTATTGCATTTAAAGTGACAGGTCCTTATTATTCATTAATTGTTATAGCATTCAGAAATGGCTGAGCCTAGCATTGCCACCCCACACTGTTAGCGGATGCAATGATAGATATGGTAGAAGGTGAAGAGCAAGAGAACCTGTCTGAATCTGAAAGGTGCAATGTAACGGTAGTCTCGCCCCAAACAAATATAACTGAAACAGGTGAACTAAGATGTTCATCACGGGACAGAAAACCGACCCCAAAGGTGCTAGAAAATTTGGAGCAAGAGGCAGCAGCACTGAAAGGAAAAAAGTTCGCCCGAATATATGAGAGGTGGAAAGCATACATCAAAGACATTCGCAGAAAGCTAAAACAAGAAAGCATAAAGGAGAATTTGAGTGAAATAATAGAGACAGTAGAAGATTCTGAGTCAGAGCTTATGACAGCATATGTCAACTTGCGGTCGTTCTTGACACCGTCCCAGGATATTGTAAGAAATATGGATACATGTACCGCAGTCACTAGGGATTTAGTGAAGCTTATGAGAGAACTATCATCTGCAGAAAATTATGATGAAGTCAAGGCACGAAAGGGAATGAATGAGCTCTTCATGAAAGACTATGCTAGGTCCTTAGGAGGAACCACAATCTCAAGTGTGACTTCCATCACAAGCAGAAGTGCCAGCCACATAACAGAGTTCTCAAGTACGTCAGCCAAAAGAAAGGAATTAGCTGAACAACTCGCTGCCAAAAGGGCAGAAGTTGAGATGGAATCTGCCATTGAGGCTCAGCGTCTACAGATAGCCGAAATGGAGGCTCAGCGCCATAAAATGGAAGCCGAACTAGAAGCTCAGCGCCATAAAATGGAAAGTCTGGAAAGGCAGAAGGAAGTTAAGATTATAGAAGCCAGACTCAGAGTGCACGAAGAGGATACGAATCAGGGTAGTCATAGATCCAAATCAGTACTAAGTGGAGAAGCTGACTGCTACGATCTTCCTTACGCCCAGGAAAATGGAAGGAAATCTCCAGCATGTAGTGAAGAAATAAGTCATAGTCCTTTCATCATCCCTGCTCAGAGAGAAAAGAAGAGAGACTCACCTGATTCAGAACAAAGTGGAAAAAAAGAACCAGATAATTCAACTCCCATATGTCATGGCAGTGGTCACGAGAATGTTGCAACTGTTGACCTGTCGAAACCTCAGAGAAGCTTTCCCACTAGACTTCCTGTTCCGAACCTACTACAGTCAGGTCCATAAATATTGGGACATGGACACAATTCTAACATTTTTGGCTCTTTACACCACCACAATGGATTTGAAATGAAACAAACAAGATGTGCTTTACCTGCAGACTGTCAGCTTTAATTTGAGGGTATTTACATCCAAATCAGGTGAACGGTGTAGGAATTACAACAGTTTGCATATGTGCCTCCCACTTGTTAAGCGACCAAAAGTAATGGGACAGAATAATGATCCTAAATCAAACTTTCACTTTTTAATACTTGGTTGCAAATCCTTTGCAGTCAATTACAGCCTGAAGTCTGGAACGCATAGACATCACCAGACGCTGGGTTTCATCCCTGGTGATGCTCTGCCAGGCCTCTACTGCAACTGTCTTCAGTTCCTGCTTGTTCTTGGGGCATTTTCCCTTCAGTTTTGTCTTCAGCAAGTGAAATGCATGCTCAATCGGATTCAGGTCAGGTGATTGACTTGGCCATTGCATAACATTCCACTTTAGCAACTCTTTGGTTGCTTTTGCAATATGCTTTGGGTCATTGTCCATCTGCACTGTGAAGCGGCGTCCAATGAGTTCTGAAGCATTTGGCTGAATATGAGCAGATAATATTGCCCGAAACACTTCAGAATTCATCCTGCTGCTTTTGCCAGCAGTCACATCATCAATAAATACAAGAGAACCAGTTCCATTGGCAGCCATACATGCCCACGCCATGACACTACCACCACCATGCTTCACTGATGAGGTGGTATGCTTAGGATCATGAGCAGTTCCTTTCCTTCTCCATACTCTTCTCTTCCCATCACTCTGGTACAAGTTGATCTTGGTCTCATCCGTCCATAGGATGTTGTTCCAGAACTGTGAAGGCTTTTTTAGATGTTGTTTGGCAAACTCTATTCTGGCCTTCCTGCTTTTGAGGCTCACCAATGGTTTACATCTTGTGGTGAACCCTCTGTATTCACTCTGAAGTCTTCTCTTGATTGTTGACTTTGACACACATACACCTACCTCCTGGAGAGTGATCTTGATCTGGCCAACTGTTTGTGAAAGGTGTTTTCTTCACCAGGGAAAGAATTCTTCTGTCATCCACCACAGTTGTTTTCCGTGGTCTTCTGGGTCTTTTGATGTTGCTGAGCTCACCGGTGCATTCCTTCTTTTTAAGAATGTTCCAAACAGTTGTTTTGGCCACGCCTAATGTTTTTGCTATCTCTCTCTGATGGGTTTGTTTTGTTTTTTTCAGCCTAATGATGGCTTGCTTTACTGATAGTGACAGCTCTTTGGATCTCATCTTGAGAGTTGACAGCAACAGATTCCAAATGAAAATAGCACACTTGAAATGAACTCTGGACCTTTTTATCTGCTCATTGTAATTGGGATAACGAGGGAATAACACACACCTGGCCATGGAACAGCTGAGAAGCCAATTGTCCCATTACTTTTGGTCCCTTAACAAGTGGGAGGCACATATATGCAAACTGTTGTATTCCTACACCGTTCACCTGATTTGGATGTAAATACCCTCAAATTAAAGCTGACAGTCTGCAGTTAAAAGCACATCTTGTTCATTTCATTTCAAATCCATTGTGGTGGTGTATAGAGCCAAAAATGTTAGAATTGTGTCTATGTCCCAATATTTTATGGACCTGACTGTATATTCTCTGGAGACGTACTGAAGTTTTTAGAATGGAAGGC